GTTCCGTTAGAGTAAACTTTCGAAATTTTTATTGAAACAAATTTTCAGAATGTTTTCTATAGCCCCTTTCTTGCCTATAGCTGAGTGGTAGCTATACGGCATCGAACACGTTAATGACCAACCAGTAAACATTTCATCAATATGAATCTTGGAAAAATAAATTCTGATAAAAGTCTTAATGCATAGTTAAATATTATGCAAGGGTTATGATCGCAGAATTACAGCATATTCAATTAAAAACATTATCAAAAAAGGGTTTCAAACAACTGGTATAGTGTTCCTCCCTCAGTCTCGTTTTCAGTTCTCAAATCGAGACTTCTTACAAACGTGTCAATAAAGACGAGAATAATAGGCCACTTTATCACACTCAGATTTTCATACAGTCAAGTATCTTAGATAAAACATCATGGCATTAACAGGATTGTTGCTGATAGGATGTGCGTTTATTCCACAAGCCTTTTCATATTTTGTCAATATCGATGCACATGGTGAAGAGTGTTTCCATGACCGCGTTTCACCTGGAACAAAAATGGCCTTAATGTTCGAAGTTGCAGATGGAGGATTTTTAGACATTGATGTTAAGGTATAAAATAATTAAAATCTTAATTTTTGTTTAAAGTTATGGTTAAAGATTTCAAACCATAATTTGTACCGAACGATCAAATCATTAAAAAATGTATACTTTTGACGAGGAAGTTAACATCAAGCGCGCGTCTATCTTGCTGATTTCAAATTTCACATAGGTACAAATTATTAAAATAGGCCTGAAATTGGTTCTGGATCGAAAGAGTTTCGCAAAGGTCTGTTGTAATAGACTATAGAGTAGAGAATTTATTCAACTTTTAAGATTAAGCTTTAAAAAAGCAGCCACAAGTTTATGTCCAGCAACGTACTAAGTACTAGTTGACATGAAACGAGGTACTTCTGTTCTGATTAAAAGCTTTCGTCCATCTATCGTCAAAGTAATTTTGAGGTTGCATTTATAAACATATTTTCTGATTTTTAGTTATCCTTGTCTTAAAATTTCCACTCAAATCCCAAAATACTCTATCCAGACTTGAAACTTTGTTTCTTGCGCAGACAAATTTACTTTTGAAAGTTTGAGTCTGTGTGCCTGAAATCATAAATTTTTAATCATTTTTATGGTTGATAATGGTAAATGTTTTTATCTAGAGATTTTGTTCGGTCAGTACATAAAAGCATGCAATGTTCGCCCAGGCAATATATTGCGGGTGTGCAACAAAGTTTCCAGTCTGGGTACTGTAGCTAAACCATAAAAAAGTTTTTAAATTATTGGTAAAAGGGCTCCATCCTTGGTCTCAGCTGATTTCATATATAAACCATTGATGAGAAAGATTTTTTGGAAAATTAGCAAAACTTTCTTAAATGATATCAACTAAAATTTTAGATATATTATTCTAAAGTTTTCATTATATTATTTATTCCAAGACATGTATGTTTTAAAACATTTTCAGACAAATTATCCCTAATAGGCTTTGTTTTATGCAAAGCTGTGTATTTGATGCATTGCTTTGAGATGAATATCTGCAGAGAATACTAAGGGCGGTAGACTCTGAAGATGGCAGAGAATACCTGTAATTTATTGCAAAAGTTGTCCCAGATCCAAGAAACCTATTTATATGATTTAGAGGAAAGTTTTTTGTTGAAAATGAATTTAGTCTTTTGAAGACTATGGTCCTCGTGTCCAGGCTCCCACTAATTAACCTCATGGAGTTTCTAAAGAGGCTGAGCTGTTTGCAATTTTTGATTAGTTTCCTTTTTAAAGTGTGTTGTCATAGAAGTAGCTAGCTTTGATTGTTATTTTGCAATAATTCTCAATGTTGTCTGAATCATTTTATTCATAACACATTATTTTTTTCTTCAGATTGTTGGACCAGACCAGAAAGTAATATATTCTGGGGACAGAGAAAGCAATGGGAAGTACACATTTGCAGCCCACATGGATGGTGTTTACACTTACTGTTTCAGCAACAAAATGTCAACAATGACTCCCAAAATTGTGAAATTTGGTATGGACATTGGTGAAGCCCCGAAAGAAGCTGGAAAGGATGATGATGGTTAGTTGTTTGAAATATGTAATTTGTTCTGTTCCCAACATTTCTGAAAGCAACTGTCCATATCAAAGATAATATTAAGAAGCTATTTTAACAAAATGATTTTTAAGGAAAAAGATAGTAAATAGAAATAGTCAAGTTGCTGTTTCTATCATCAAAAATATAAAAAGTAAAAACAAGGTTGTTTTTCTAATCTACTTTCTATTTTCACTCTGTGACAAGAAACCCTTAGAATGGCCTAGTAAAAATAACATTTTTCTGTTTAGCCTATAAAAACTTGATTTTCAATGTTGTAATATTTCGATTCTACCTTATCTAGCCTTTAGAAAGGCAAGTAGGTTATGTCTGATACAATTGCAAACATCACTATGTTTTGTTTTTAGTGTACATCTTGCACCAAGCGCATTTAATCATAGTTAATCAATATTTTCCTATAGTCAGGACGGTTTTTAATAAATAACCTTAGTTCTATGTTTGTTCAACTGCCCATTATAAGATTGTTTGCTGTTTTAATTTTCTGTATATAATTTTATGATTATCATAATTGAAGTAATAAAAACAACCAATATCCATATATGCATCTTTATGTTTGTAAATTCATGATTTTTTTGTCATTTGTTGCATAATCAGTGCATTATATTTTTAGCTGAACATGATAAACTGAATGGCATGATACACCAGCTATCTTCAACTTTAATTGGTGTCAAACATGAACAGGAATATATGGAAGTGAGAGACCGTGTTCACAGAGCAAGTAAGTTCTCATTTTAAATTTTGGTGCGACAATGTTTTTAGTAGTAGATTGTTCTAATAGTTTATACTGTTTGTGGTTTGGGCCTGGTTGCTGTTTTTATTACATACCCTTGGATGCACAGAACAGGATGGTTCTTATTCATATTTCTCTAAGTTTCAAGCTTTTTAGAATCATCAGGCAACTTTTGAAATACTCTGTCTTTAGGTGTAATTATATTCAGTTGTTATGTCTCTTGATGTGTCAAGAATTTTGTATATATATAAGAAGATTTTATAAGCTAATTACAATACTTAAGGCTTTTTTAAACAAGTGAGACAACACTACCTAGGCCTTTACTCAGGTACTTTCTATCATATCTATTTATAGCCTTTACTGCAGAATTGGTATATTTACTGCAATAAATGTATGTATATACTCATTCAAAGAAAGAATTTGTAAACTGGGCAGGCTTTCTTGGATATATTTTTAACTTATATTTAGTAGATCAGTTTAACTTAAATATAGGATATTTCACATTAGGGGAAGGGCATATTCATGATGCCTTACACAAAAGAGTAAAACTTGCATTATTTAAACTAACTAACTAAAGTGTTTTTAGTGAATATTGTAGAATAAAAATTACTTCTTTTTATAAATTGGAAAAGAATTTTTAAATTAAAGTAATATATAGAATATATATTTCCTGACTTTATATTTTTCTTTTTGTCTTTCTTTCTTCCTTTCTTTGTTTGTTTGTTAGTTTGTTTCTTTCTTTCTGTCATTCTCTCTTCCTTTCTTTCTTTTTTGTGTGGTTGAGCTTAAAGATTGAAGTTCTGTGTTCCATGTGCTAATGTTTTCTTGCAATGAAATATACTATAAATATTCACATACAAGAAACTAATTTTTTGGATGAGGCAGCACTTATATTTTGAAAATCAGGCAAATGTGGTTCTTATAAGTATTTCATTTATAGAAAGTTATAGAAATGATATCAAATCAAATTATTGTTTATAAACATTCTTTAACTTCTTTAATCAATACCTTATTTTTCTTTACAATTTATTAACTTTGTTTCTTCTTAATTTTAGTCAATGACAGCACCAACAGCCGAGTAGTGTGGTGGGCCTTTTTCGAATGTTTGATTCTTGTTGCCATGACGCTTGGACAAGTTTATTACTTGAAGAGGTTCTTTGAAGTAAAGAGAGTGGTATAATTCTTAGCTTTTGACAATTAGAATAGCTATCCGGCTTTGTTTTCCCTTTCCTCTTTTAACTAGGCCCTTCCTTTTAAGACCTTGTTGCAAACATCTTGCTCTCTACATCCTTTCCTACTATTGTTGTTACCTACTTAGTTTGTTTTACAATAAGTATCTTTTTGAGTACACCATGGCCAGATTCACCTTGCCCCCATTTCAAATGCTACCTTGCACAAGCTGCGTTGTTTATTGTGCAGGCCAAGATATGTATATAAATGTTATATTATAAGTCTCTCTGCACAAAGAAACATATCTGATAGAATGAACAGATCATCTAAGCAACACAAGTATTTGGCTCCAGGAAATGATTCTATTTCAAAATAAAAGGAAGAAAATTTAAATACCTATGTCCACTAATTATCAGAATTTGCCATCCTTTTTTCAATTTGTATGTCCTTCCTTGTTCACCTTGTTCATTGTTATGAACTGAGAACTATTTCTGTATTAATAATATACATGGTGTTGTTTTTCTGCTGACAAGTTTTCTCATGTACATGACATGATACAAGTATTTAAAGAAACATGACAGTAAAATTTTATGAGACATGTCAAAATTTCTGACAGAGTTACTAAAGTTTTCGTTTTTCACTGGTATCTGTTCTTTTGGCATAATGCTTTAACTCAAAGTTGATTTCTTCCTGTAAAGATGTTCACATTTTCATTCTAATATCATAGGTCTTTCTTTTAAATAAAGAGGCAAGATTGTTCATCAAAATTCTACAATATTTGACACATGAATGTGTCAACAAAGAGTGTAACACTTGGTTGTTGCTTTAAGATTCAAAATAAACTTTATTTTATCATTTCAAAACATCATAGATACCCTTTTAGGGAACAAATTTCTAACACACATGGAATTTAGAGCACTTTATCCTTACTGAATTTTATCCTTACAGATGGAAATTTGGAGAAATTAATGGGTTTTTAAAAATACCTTGCAAAAATTGCTTTATTTTGAATATATATAATTTCTCAAATTTTGAATATAATACCAAATATCAACCATTGTTGCACTGTCTCGGCCAAGTATAAACCTTTAAGAAATGATCTCAAATTTTCATTTAAACTCGTTTTCATAGCATTTTGTTTCTAAAATTTATAGAAATACAAGCTTAATTTGTGACAAAAGGGCAACTATTGCAATGCTGTTTAGCTTTAATTTTATCATTTAACACCATTTCAACTACTTTTTCAATGCGAATAACTTTTACAAAAATGATGATTTCTTCAAAGAGTATGGGCTTACTTCTTAACAAAAAACCACCATTTCAGATCTGATTGGAAAGGCTTTAAGCAGTTTAAAAATGCTGAGACCTGATTGTTTACCTTATATTTTATCAATTTCTGCCATTTGAATCACATTTTCAATCTGAAGAACTTTTCAAAAATTGTGATTTTTCAAAGACTATAGGCTTACTTTTTGACAAAAATTAGGCCACTTCTGATCCGACTGGAAAAGGTTTAAGCAGTTCAAAAGTGATTCAAATTGACTTTTTAGCTTTAATTTTCATCATTTTACGCCATTTTAACTACTTTTTCAATGTAAATAGCTTTCACAAAAAGTGTGATTTTTTGTAAGGCTGTATAGCCTTACTTTTTGACAAAAATTAGACCATTTCTGATCCGACTGGAAAAAGATTTAAGCAGTTCAAAAGTGTCTCAACCTGACTTTTTAGCTTTAATTTTGATCATTTTACGCTATTTTAACTACTTTTTCGATGTAAATAGCTTTCACAAAAAGTGTGATTAGGCCACTTCTGATCCGACTGGAAAAGGTTTAAGCAGTTCAAAAGTGATTCAAATTGACTTTTTAGCTTTGATTTTCATCATTTTACGCCATTTTAACTACTTTTTCAATGTAAATAGCTTTCACAAAAAGTGTGATTTTTTGTAAGGCTGTATAGCCTTACTTTTTGACAAAAATTAGACCATTTCTGATCCGACTGGAAAAAGATTTAAGCAGTTCAAAAGTGTCTCAACCTGACTTTTTAGCTTTAATTTTGATCATTTTACGCTATTTTAACTACTTTTTCGATGTAAATAGCTTTCACAAAAAGTGTGATTAGGCCACTTCTGATCCGACTGGAAAAGGTTTAAGCAGTTCAAAAGTGATTCAAATTGACTTTTTAGCTTTGATTTTCATCATTTTACGCCATTTTAACTACTTTTTCAATGTAAATAGCTTTCACAAAAAGTGTGATTTTTTGTAAGGCTGTATAGCCTTACTTTTTGACAAAAATTAGACCATTTCTGATCCGACTGGAAAAAGATTTAAGCAGTTCAAAAGTGTCTCAACCTGACTTTTTAGCTTTAATTTTGATCATTTTACGCTATTTTAACTACTTTTTCGATGTAAATAGCTTTCACAAAAAGTGTGATTAGGCCACTTCTGATCCGACTGGAAAAGGTTTAAGCAGTTCAAAAGTGATTCAAATTGACTTTTTAGCTTTGATTTTCATCATTTTACGCCATTTTAACTACTTTTTCAATGTAAATAGCTTTCACAAAAAGTGTGATTTTTTGTAAGGCTGTATAGCCTTACTTTTTGACAAAAATTAGACCATTTCTGATCCGACTGGAAAAAGATTTAAGCAGTTCAAAAGTGTCTCAACCTGACTTTTTAGCTTTAATTTTGATCATTTTACGCTATTTTAACTACTTTTTCGATGTAAATAGCTTTCACAAAAAGTGTGATTAGGCCACTTCTGATCCGACTGGAAAAGGTTTAAGCAGTTCAAAAGTGATTCAAATTGACTTTTTAGCTTTGATTTTCATCATTTTACGCCATTTTAACTACTTTTTCAATGTAAATAGCTTTCACAAAAAGTGTGATTTTTTGTAAGGCTGTATAGCCTTACTTTTTGACAAAAATTAGACCATTTCTGATCCGACTGGAAAAAGATTTAAGCAGTTCAAAAGTGTCTCAACCTGACTTTTTAGCTTTAATTTTGATCATTTTACGCTATTTTAACTACTTTTTCGATGTAAATAGCTTTCACAAAAAGTGTGATTAGGCCACTTCTGATCCGACTGGAAAAGGTTTAAGCAGTTCAAAAGTGATTCAAATTGACTTTTTAGCTTTGATTTTCATCATTTTACGCCATTTTAACTACTTTTTCAATGTAAATAGCTTTCACAAAAAGTATGATTTTTTGTAAGGCTATAGCCTTACTTTTTGACAAAAATTAGACCATTTCTGATCCGACTGAAAGAAGTTTAAGCAATTCAAAAGTGTCTCAACCTGACTTTTTAGCTTTAATTTTGATCATTTTACGCCATTTTAACTACTTTTTCGATGTAAATAGCTTTCACAAAAAGTGTGATTATTTGTAAGGCTATAGCCTTACTTTTTGACAAAAATTAGACCATTTCTGATCCGACTGAAAGAACTTTAAGCAATTCAAAAGTTTCTCAACCTGACTTTTTAGCTTTAATTTTGATCATTTTACGCCATTTTAACTACTTTTTCAATGTAAATAGCTTTCACAAAAAGTGTGATTTTTTCTAAGGCTATAGCCTTACTTTTTGACAAAAATTAGACCATTTCTGATCCGACTGTAAAAAGATTTGAGCAGTCCAAAAGTGTCTCAACCTGACTTTTTAGCTTTAATTTTGATCATTTTACGCCATTTTAACTACTTTTTCAATGTAAATAGCTTTCACAAA